AGAAGATAGGCTCAAGATCCAGATGGATCTTGACAGAATTGAACACTGAGCCCTATCTAACAAAATAAAATTCAATGTAGAGAAAAGTAAAGTCTTACACTTAGGTAAGAAAAACCAAAAGCACACATATAAACTGGGGGAAAACAGGCTTAATAGCAGTTAACTGTGAGAGGGATCTTGGAGTCTTGGACAATCAGCTAAATATGAGCTAGCAGTGTGCAGCGGCAGCTAAAAAAAAGCCAACACAATCATAAATTGCATTAACAGAGGGATACAATCAAGATCAAGTGAGGTACTAATACCAATACTCTATAAAGCCCTAGTAAGACCACACCTAGAGTACTGCATCCAGTTTTGATCGCCACTCTATAAAAAAGTTGTTGAGACTCTAGAAAAAGTGCAGAGGAAAGCAACCAGGATGATTAGGGGAGTGGAGACTAAAACATATGAAGAACAGTTACATGAACTGGGCATGGCTAGTCTAGTGAAGAGAAGGACTAGGGGAGAAATGATAGCCATCTTCCAAAACTTGAGGGGCTGCCACAGAGGGGAGGGGGTAAAGCTCTTTTCTAAGGCACCCGAAGGCCAGACAAGGAATAATGGATGGAAATTGACCAAGGAGTGATTCAATCTAGAAATGAGGAGGAACTTTCTGACAGTGAGAACAATCAACCAATGGAACAGAAGTTGCCTTCGGAAGTTGTGGGAGCTTCATCACTTGAGACTTTCAAGAATAGATTGGACTGCCATTTGTCAGAAATGGTGTAGGGTCTCCTGCTTGAGGAGGGGTTGGATTAGATGACCTATAAGGTCCCTTCCAACTCTGTTAATCTGTTAAATCTGTTAAAAATCCTCCCACCTAGCCTTGAAGCTCACTAGTTGATTCTCAGCTAAGGCGAGGTAATCATTTCTCTTGGCAGTGAATATTATTTTGGGGGAAGGTAGGAACTGCAGCCACCAAAGCAATACTACAAAGTGGATGGGAGCATATCACACTCTTGGCTGGATCATGATTTTCTCATTTTCCTAAGTTTTTTTGGGAGGGGAGGAGAAGGGAATTTTTGTTTTGTTGAATGTGTGTATCCATTAACCCTATTTTACACCATATGCACTGGTTTTTAAATGTTTCCGACCTCAGAATAGTGGGAAGCTGGTTTAGGCAGTTGGAGATTGAAGAGGCTGTACAAAGGAAGTCCAGGACCAGCCTCATAGGGTTGCAGAAGAAATTAAATGAGAAGAAAGTTGTGGATAAGGTGCCTTCAGAGCTTTAAAGTAAAGCCTGAGGCATATATAGAAGAAAAGTCACTAACTTAAAGGGAGCCCTGTATATTATGTCATCCAATCTCACTCCTCCTCTTTAATGCAGCATTTCCAAAAGCTGCGGTCCTGCCAATGTCAAAACTCCAGCAAGGGAGAATTGACCATTGCCTCGTTAAACTGGTGCCATTACGAAACTCCTGTTCTCAGAACACTTCACCCAAATTTGCTTTCCTTCCTTCCTTCCTTTAAATCCGGCAGTTCTATACGTCCAAAATGCGAGTTCTCGCTCCCATGCACTTCTACCCACTTGATCATTTGATCACATGGGGTGAGTTTCTTCTCCGCAACAGTAAATCACCTGACCAAAACCTACACGGTGATTTGAATTGCCCCTAAGTGCAGTCCCGTTTTGTAGAGCCTGCAGCTGTCAGTCTTTTAGTAGTGGACGTTCCTGCATGGGGTGGAGGGTTGTTGTTTTTGTTGTTGTTCTTTTATCCTCCTCCAGTAAAATGAATCAGAAAGGGATTCCAGAGGGAAATCTACATAGCGGCAGAACTCACTGCTAAAGATAGGGAACTGCACTCCCTGACGTGGAAGCAATAAAAGGTATGCACAGGATAATTAAGGGAAGGACCTCTCTTTCTGTAAGGGCTCCTGCTGCGTCCCTCTCTTGACATGGAGCCTATTTATTTATTTATTTTATTTTATTCAATTTGTATACCGCCCTTCTCCTAGTGGACTCAGGGCGGTGCACATACCAATACAAAATTTAAAATTTTTAAAAGAATTACATGACTTTGGCCCAAAATTTAAAACATTCAAACTAAAACCCATTGACAATTTAAAAAGCTAAAAAAAAAGGGGGGGGGGCTACCAGACGAAACGGACTACGAGACCACTGGCTGGGGATACGGTGGCAGTGATGATGGCAGTTGAGAAACACATCTGGAGGGTACCAAACCAGGAAGGGAGGATGAGGGAGAAGTAGTTAAAGCCCTATTCATGTTGTTTGGGGGCACAAGTGGAAAGTGGGTTTCTCCCACCCTGAGCTCACAGCTGCCCCCGGTGACCCACGAACCTGCGTACCTATGTTCTCTCTCTTTCCCTTTCTTTCTCTTTCTTTCTCTCTCTCTTTCTCCCTCGACGTGCTGTGTCCGTCTATCCGTGTGTGCGTGTATGTATATGTGCATATGTATATATATCCCCCCCACAGGAATGAAGCTTGGCGCCGGCTGATGGTGCAACAGATACCCTCGTCCTCCCCCACCCCCACGCCCCCAGCTCATCCCGTCCCTCGCCACGTGGTGTGGAGAAGCCAGTCACCAGGGTGGAGACAAGAAAGGAAGAGTGCAGGGAAAGAGGGACCAAGCGGGGTGGGGGGTGGGGAGGGTGAGAGAAAGAGAAAAGCCGGGGAGGGAAAGCAAAGCGTCCCCATCCGTGGCTGCCCAGAGTCAGAGCGGCGGCGGCGGCGGCGGCGGCGTCACCGGGAGCGAGGCGGGCCAGGCAGCTCACCCGCCTCATCGTGCCCGCTCCCCGGCCGTCCAAGGCAGGCTTTGCAGAGGAAGGAGGCAAAGGCGGACTCGGCTCCTCGCCCCGGGGCACCCAGGAGGCCCGGCCTGGACGGGCGGGGCCGCTTTCGCTCCCGGCGTCTCCGTGTGGCCTAAGAGGTGGCGGCGGGCGGGCGGGCGGACGCGCAAGACCAACCGGCCGATTCCTCCCACCGCTCCCTGCTTTCTGACAGGCGCCCCTTTCCAAGGCTTCGATCGGGCTCACGGCCGAGCCAGCAAATCGCGCAGCGGCCAGCGGAGGCGTTTTTGAAAGCAGGTCGGTCGGTTTGGCTCTGCGGGGGAAAAAAACTTGAAGTTGATTCTCTCGGTTCCTTTCTAATCCCGGGACTCCAAGGCGCCTTTGGCAGCCCCCTTTTTTTTCCTCGCTTTATTCTTTCTTTCCGAAGTTTGTCCGAAGTTCTTGTCCGAGCGACCGTTCCCCGGGAGAAACGTCCCAAGGCGACTTTTTTTTCCCACTCAGGTCGCGAGTGGGTTTTCTTCTTTTTCTTGTTTCATTCCGCTGGAGTGAAGGGAGCCCCGATTTGGAGCGAGCCACGCAGATGTGCTCGCCCGAGTTTTCCTCTCTCTCTCTCTCGTTCCTCTGGCATCGCTCCTTCCTTCATTGGTGGTGGGTACAGTTTCTGGGTACAGACATCTCGAAAACAAACCCTTTCTCTACCAGCATAAGAAACCGTAACGAATGTAGTTTTAGAAGGCGAAAAAAAAAAAAGGATTGAGCGTAGCGTTCAACATCCCTTTATTTATCGAACGTGAAAAACAAGACTGTAATAATAACGCACGAAATATGACTTTCCCGATAGTTTTGGTAAATCTTCCTGGCGGGAATCCTATATTGTGTATTCCGGATTTTAGGGGTAGAAATCATTTTGTTTTAATTAACAGCGTGGGTTGTTTTTGAAGCAGCGTTCACCGAAGTCAAAGCAAGGCAAAGAGGTTTTTTTAAATTTCACCGATCTGAATTCGATTTCTGTTTGCGCTAAATTGGCAAGAAGAAAGAGCGCCGAACTTTCTTTGGGTAGAGTTATTACTCTTGTTCCTTTTCTGGCATTGATTACTTCAAGCCTGCAAGGTATTTGGGGATAAAAATTACTTTTCTTTCCCGTTTATCCCAATTAAAAGGGGACTCATCTACTGAAACCCACTCCGTTTGTTTTTTTCCTAAGAGAATGGCGGGGGTTTTTTCAGAGAAAATCTGCAGGCCCGTAGTATATTCTTTGGTTCAAAAACAACAGAATTCTGGTTTTCAAAAGGAGTTGAGAAAAGATTAGAAACGTTAAAAAACAGGAGGAGAGATTACAAATATAGGCCTCCAGTTTTTTTTATATTGCCCCTTTCAGAATGGGTGAATGTACTATGCCGCATTCTTATTCTTATTATTCTACCGCGTCCTTTCTTCTGTTGTGATTATTTTAAAACAGTATAGGGAAGGAATATATTATTTTAACCTGAGCAGGTAAAAATGGCCAGACAGAAACAGTGGATCTGTTTCAACTATTTATTACAATTGGTTATTTCTATTTGCAATAGTTTCAAATATTAACACACTCTTATTTCTCTTCAAATCTGCTTTGAAAGTATATCAATAAAATGATTGCGCATCTTCATGTAAATATTTCTAGAAAATGATGGGTGGAAATAATGCCTTTTGGTGTAATTCTGGTATCTTTATGCTACTTCGATTTTACTTTAAAGATATTAATTCTTTTTCTCTATTATAACAAAGAGATAATGAAATTAGTGTTAAAGGTTCATATTTGCATTCTTTAGATCTATATTTTGAATTAATTGAATTCCATTATCTAGTAGAAATCACTTTCAAGTCCATTGATTTTGATGGAAAATTAATACATATTAGGTAGGAAGTAGGTAAACTGTGTCAGTGAATTGTGCCCATATGTGACTATTTTGTAGAAATGTATGAAAGTATTTAGGCAGTGCAAATACTGCCTAAAAACAACTATTTTGTTTTATAGATAATATTTTTCATATGTTTTTCCAACTTCTCTTGAACAATTGCTTTATATGTATCCCCTATGCCATTTAAGATTTGCTTGCTTGTTATCAAATGATTTCACTTGAATATAACAATAGACATATTTTCTCAAATAACTTTGAAAAAAATATAGTGATAGTAATATGTTAGTAATTGATATTAAAATGATTTTTAGGCAGTTGGGTTAAGTGATTTTTATTTCACTGGAAATAAATTAGAAACTGCGGGGGAGGGGACACGAGCTTTTTCTAGTTCTTCCGAGATTTCTTTCAACAGTTTTCTTTCGCACTTCTTTCCTTAATTTCATTTTTTGAATTTCTTTCTTTCTTTCTTTCTTTCTTTCTTTCTTTCTTTCTTTCTTTCTTTTTCTTTCTTTCTCTCTCTCTCTCTCTCTCTCTCTCTCTCCCTCCCTCTCTCAGAGACTGATGAATATGGTTTCGCTTGAGGCATTGAAGAGTGGGATGCGATGGAAAGAGACGGGAGGGGGAGAGGAGGCGGCAATCCAAATTCACACTTAAAAATCCACAGCTGGAATAAAGTTCTGTGGGCAACTCCATCCATCCACATTTCACTTTTAGAAAAAGCGCTGATGTCCTAGTGCGTAGCCAAGAGAAAAAATGAGAGGTTAGTAAGCCTGTTCGTCAAAACAGACCCCTTTCCATGGAAAAACTAGTGAGTCCTGAAGGCCTAGGCCCGGAGTGTAAGACTCATTAAATGCAGCAGATCACCCTCAGACGAGGCCAGCACAGGATGGCTCTATGAACGGAAAACAATTCTTGGACAATTCTTTGTAGAGCCATGTAATCCTAGATCTCCTCTGCAATCCTTGATGGAGAGCACCCCTTCCTGCACACAAATGCAATGGTGAAAGAGGTTTCCCAGCCTCTTCTTAACTTTAATCTCTGCTCTTTGCTTCACCTTCTAGTCTTGCCAGCCCAGGTTGCTTAAACTGATCTGGATCTGCTGGGGTCTAGAAGATGATGGGGAAAGGAAAGATCTGGAGAAGGATGACAATAGGCACCGATTGAACGTGATGCAACCTGGGGTCTCCAGAAGCAGAGGTTTTAGTAGTTTAGCTGGAACGTGCATTGGTGCATGTAAGGAGGCTGGTAGACCCTGAATCTCACTCACTCTAGCTTCTGTTGTTGGGTGAGTAGGAATTTTGTCCAAATCCGCAATGTATGCACAGCTCAGTCAGTTTCTTGATCATAGGTCCTTTTGTAAAGCCATGAGTTTGTCTTGTAAAAAGGAAGTAAGGAACAGAAGAGAAATTTCTGAGACTCTTTGGCACAGAATGGCCAAAGTCTGCCTGTACACATTTGATTTATAGGTCACCAGGTAGACATACTGCTCAATGTACATTTGAGTTTTCTCTTGCATTTTTTCTCTCTCGGGTTTGATCTCAAAACCATATTATATGTGGATTCACTCAAGACTATACTAAAGCAGGATTAAGCATTTTATGATGCAGTTGTGTTGTCAGAACTCAGCTGTTGTTTTAGCATGGTTATATAAAACAGGCAATTATGTTATGCAAATATTTGCTTTCCCATAGTATGTATGTGAGTGCATACATTTTGTTTTGTTAACCTGTATATTGTGTGAATGCAGTCCATAAGCAACAACTGATTTGCTTTAAAGTAGTATTTTTAAATGATTAAACTGGCTATGGCTATTTTAACCATTCTTTTATATAAAACCGTCACACACAAGAGTGATTAGAAAACAGATCACAAATAGACTTTTATGGCTGAGTGGCCAGGATAGATCAGGATGATGAGAATTGCACTTCAGTATCTCCAGAGGGCATAAATTTGGTGTGTGTGTGTAGGATTTAAGTTAAGAATAGACCTGAGATCTAATAGTTGTGTACTCACTAAGATTAGGGACAGATTTTTAATATCCCTGTAATGGCAGCTCTGATGGAAGTGAAGTGTTGCCATTTTTTGTCTTATTTAGAAAATTCCACTTGGTGACAATGGGGTGGGGGCGTATGTGTGTGTATCTTTGCAATGTATCTTTACATGCAAAGTTAACTGATGCTTGTAAACAACACTCAATTCTTTCTGTTCTTCATCATTTACTTAAAGTAGCCACAGACCATTAAGTGCTAGGCAACAGCATAGTCAACCATCATGGTCATATAGATTGTATGTCAGGAGTGTTCTTGCCCAAATGCTAAATGCTAAAATTTGGGGGATGTGCAACTGAATGTATAATCAGCAAAACATTTTTGCGTTTTGTTAACCTGGGCCAGCCTCAATTTACATTGAGACATAAAAGTTTTCTAATAATTTATCAGGACAACTGGAAGGGCAAGTCTTGTTCTCATCTGGAAATGAATAAGCTCACTTTGTTCCTGAATCAACAGAGTCAGAACAGCCTTCCCCAACCTGCTGCTCTCTAGATAGGAATATTATTAACTGAATATTTTTTTTAGTTGAAGTCCAATACATCTAGCAAGTTTCAAATGGGAAAAGGCTGTGTTGAAAGGCTGCATTTCCTTCGGTTTTTGCAGGCACAAACATTTTTTCCTATTCTGATATTTTTAGCTGTTTATGAATTCATTTGGTGGGAACTTACATTGATATGTGTGTGTGTGAAAATTAATGCTGCTGTGTGTATATGTTGCAAGCATTTTCATGCAATAATTAATCCTGTAAATTATTCCTGAATATGGTTTTGCAGTAATCCAGATCATGGTCACAGTCTTAGACCACTGGAACCTATATTTATGGTGTAAATTCCTGTATTTTGAATCTCTGAGATATTTTCAAATTTGGAACTAAAAATATTTTTTGAAGAAGAAAGCGCTACTGATCAATCATTTGTAGAATTTATTTCCATTATTCTAACTTCCAGAAAACATTGAACTTCTTCTGAGGTTTATTTATTCACGTAACCTAGGATTTCTGGGAGTTGTAGTCCAACATATCTGGAAGGCACCAAATGGGGGGAAAACCCAACAGTAGTATACAACTGACTTCACCATTACTCATCCTTATGCCCAACATTTTTCATTTTCCTGCATGAATAAGATTTTACTATCACTCCTGTCTTTCGATTTTCCCTTCCTCTCTGCTTAGCAGGCAGAAAAATTGACCTTAGTTTAGAAGCTAATAAGGATTGGAGCTGATTAACTGCATGATTAATGTGTAGTTCCTAGGATCTCAGCTCCTTCAAAATTCCACTTCACATTTCCTCATTCAAATCCAGATTTTGAATCTCCTTAATGTGATTTGATCAAATAATAGCCTTGGGTTTAACTTAAACAAAAGGAGTAAGTTATCTGAAGGAAAAGGATTGATTTCAGAAGAAGCATTTAGTTAAGGAGTACAGGTAGTCCTCAGCTTACAACAGTTCATTTAGTGACTGTTCAGAGTTACAACGGCACTGAAAAAAGTGACTTACGACTGTTGCAGCTTGGCAACTGACTCATATTTATGACGATTGCAGCACCCCAGGGTCATATGATCACCTTTTGTGACCTTCTAACAAGCAGAGTCAATGGGGAAGGCAGATTCACGTAACAACCTTGTCACTAACTTGACAATTGCAGTGACTCATTTAAAAACCGGGGCAAGGAAGGTTGTAAAGTCACTTAACAAATGTCTCACTTAACAACTGAAAGTTTGGGCTCAATTGTGGTCGTAAATTGAGGACTACCTGTATCTATCTCTAACCTCTTCCCCAACCTTACTTAAAAGACTTTTAATGGGGAGGCCTTTCTGCTTTCTTTTTCTCTTTTTCATTCCGTATACAATCTCATTTTAATTTTGCCTCTGTTGTAGGTGTGAACTGAAGATCTGAAGATTCTGCCAGTCCTGATGGCTCAGGTTAGACAGGAAAGATCTAAAGTGGAATCTAGGCAGTTCTGTTAGGGATTTTTCCTGGATTGGAAACCATCTTCACTGGATCTGAGTTGGAACTGCACGGTCCATCCTGCCCTTTGTGGAGGAAGGTGACTTCATACTTGCCTTCAGACTTGGATCTCTGGAGATAACTTGTCTGTGTGGTTGGGTTGCAAATCAAGGCCCAGTCTGCACCTTCAGACATGTACCAGAGTTTAGCAATGGCAGCCAACCATGGCCCACCAGCATATGAAGGGACCAGCAGTTTTATGCACACCACAGCTGCTGCTTCTCCTGTCTACATACCCACCACAAGGGTCACTACCATGATCCCCAGCCTGCCTTACCTCCAAGGAAGTGGTTCATCCCAGCAAGGCAGCCCAGTCTCCAGCCACTCCATTTGGACTCAGCCTGGAGCTGAGAGTGTTGCTTACAACCCTGGATCTTCTCATCCATCAGTATCCCCAAGGTTCTCCTTTGCTACCAGCACCCCCATCCCAGCAACTACTTCCAGAGAAGCATCTGCTTATAGCAGCTCTCTTAGTATCTCGGCCAACAGCAGGGACCAGTATGCTCGGAGTTTCAGTGGCTCCTATTCCAGTCCATATCCAGCAAGTTATATGACCCCAGAATTGGGTACCAGCTGGACTTCATCTCCCTTTGATAGCCCCATGCTCCACAACCTTCAGAATCGGAGTACTCCAGGAGCTTCAAGGCACACCAACATAGGTAAGAATGAATCTTCTAAACTTTATCACACCGAGAAAGGTCGTATTATTTTCAATCTGGGATGGATTGCATGACATTGATAAAATTTTAAAAGATAAGAAATACTAGGCAGCTCATCAGTGAATTTAGCAATTTAGCATACATGGATTATCAACAAAATGCATTTTTCGCATTTTGTCAGTGAGGTAGTCTTTTGAGGATCCTTTTTCCAGAAATGTCATGTGACAATTCTCGTACTTCCTTGAATGGGAATTCATTTAGCAGCTATCATAAACCAAAGAACTCAGGGAGATAGTATTTACAATTTCTTCTTCATCAGCTTTAGAAGCCAGTAATATTGGTCCCAATAACATAAATATTAAATGGGTCTTTTAACGGAAGCCAAGAATCAACAGTATGGTGATCTCAGGTGCATTTTAAAAAGTGCACCTGAAATTAAAGTCAGGGAAATTCTGTAACTTCCAATTCCACGTAGTTCTTGTTTTTAACTCTATTTATAATTTTCTGCATTGGTGAACTGCTTCCTATTAGCTTCATTCCATCACAATTGCAGTCCTGTTCCACTGGGTCTGGGAGGAAGTCCTTATGAATACATTGGGAATTGTTTCTGGTTATGCCTTGTTGTCCCCATGATCTTCCTCCATCCTATAATTCTGAACTGAAAAAGACCTACTATATGCTTAGTTTAGGGTACAAGCAACAAAAGAGTCATGGCTATATTTATTACTTCGTATCATTTGATGCAGAAGGAGGGCGTTGGCTAACCTTTGAGGTCTTTGCAACATTAAGCAATTTTTAATCTACTATTAAAAGTGTATTGCATAAAAATCGTAACTTAAAAGCTTTAGTTCATATGGATTAAACAATTAAGGCTCAAAGTACTAACCTGTACAATATACTTTGTTAGCTCTACAAATGTTGCAGGTTGTTTTGAGAAAGGCATATCCTTTGGGACAGAGTTTCTCAACCTTGGCAACTTTAAGAGGTATAGACTTCAAATCCCAGAATGCCTCAGCTAATCAAGGCTGAGAAACCATGCTTTGGAAGATATGCAGAAGGGTACTACTGTCTCTTGTGAGCAAAATTATTCCTGCCTGTTCAGCTGTAAAGGAGTTAAAGTGCTTCATGTATATTTGCCAAGGAATCCTTTAAAAAAATAAATTTGAAATTATTATACTTACACATTCAGTGATAAATTGGTAACCTATGGACTGTTGGAAGCGCTGCCATTCTAATCTCCCAGTCAGCCATGTTCTGTATGTTTCTTTACCTGTCTTTTGACCATATATAATGTCGATACACAATGGTATGTTTTTCTGTAGAAGTTCATTCTATTGATGTTTGAAAAACTGAATAGGGTGTGTATAAGAAGCTTCTTAGAAGAAGCAGGCCACAGGTATAGGTTCTCTGGAAAAAATAAAATGAGGATTTTAAGCAATCCATTACTTGGTATGATGTGCTTAGTATTTTGTAAGGGCGTGTACCTCCTAGTATTTTGCAAGAACATTATATATATATATATATATATATATATATATATATATATATATATATATATATATATATATATAAATATATATATATATATATATATATAAAATTCAATATGTATTTCTTTTTAGCCAGGTTCTTCCTACGTAAACCAAGATTTTTATGCAGCCCTAGTTCAGTGAAATCCCAATCCACTAGTTTCTAGGCTTTTTTTTTCCAGCAGGCCCATTGGGAGACTTAGTCTTGGGATTTCACTGAACTAGAGCTGCATAAAAATCTTGGTTTACGTAGGAAGAACCTGGCTAAAGAGAAATATACATAAAGACCTACGAAAAGAAAACAAAATTCAATATATATATATAGATTTCACACACACACATACACATGATACCTGTGAAATCTTGTTGTAATCTAATTCCAACATTCTTTAGTTATGAGTTGAGTTATTTTACTGTGGTTTCAGTTCAGACTTATCAAGATTCGCTTGCTGATTAAACACAATTCTAGAACAGAGGGAGTAAATGTAAATTAGTGGTTTAAATTAGCCCACGGTCTACAAGGACCAGGAAGTATACACAAATTACAACAGGGTTTTCAAACTATGTTCTGCAGAATCCTAGCGTTCCATGAAAGAGTAAGAGAGAAAAGGATAGTTCACTCAGATGCAGCCAAGGATGGTCAAGGTATAGTGGGACTTGTCATCTGACATTCAAAAGCTTCACTCTCACAGTTTTAGTGGCTCAGGATGTGACATCACTCTGGATGAGCCTGAAAGATAGGCAGTGGCAGGGTGAAAATGATTGCCACAATTTTCCCCTTGGAAAATGCCTTAGCCATACAGCTATGGCCGTCTTCGGGTGAATGCGTATCCTGCCGTCTGCAAAGTCAACCTGTCCCGGCTCTGCCTCCTTGCCCCACTCCCCTGAAAAAGATGAAATGGAAGTTTTGGGGTGAATCTGTACGATTCAGATAACTTCAGTGTATAAATATGCATACCTTGATTAGAATGAGCACAAGTTTGATTGATAAATTTGATTTTTGATTAATTCGATTAATAAATAAATTTCATTTTATTGCCCATTTTCTATCACTAGAGGTTTGCCCCTTGATCAGAATTTCAGGAATTTTATTTTTTAATTAACAGGATCCATAGCCTAAGCAAGTTTGAAAACCTCATAACACTACATAGCAAATTTGTAGCATACTTTATCTTTGTCGTATTTAATTAATATGAGTAGCATTTTTAACACTTTTGCTTTACTAGTGCAGTACGGTTATTGCATAAAACACTGAAATCCTCCTGGACTTTCACTTTATAGACTTGCAATTTATTATCACTAAGGCCAAAAAATGAACCAATCACCATGCCTTTTCACCTCTCTCTCTCTCTCTCTTTCTTCCTCCCTCCTTCCTTCTCTCCCCTCCCTCCTCCCCCTCTTCCTCTCTTCCGTGGTTCAAGTATTTAGTAATGTTTCTGCTCCCATTCATAGAGAAGGAGAGAAGGAAGTGAGGAGAAAGAAAAAGGAAGTTAGGATTTTAACATCATTGGTTTGATTAAGTTACCATCCTATATAAGGTAGTATTTCCCAGCCTTTCAGATATATTGGACTTTGAGTCCCATAATCCTTTTCCAACCTGCGGCCAGCAGAATGGGATAGGCTTCTAGAAATACTTTCTTGTGATGATGCAGTCAGCTTTCCTATTAGTTTGCTTTTCTTCTGCTCCTCTTTTAAGGTCAGGAGACAAGATAATTAACTGCCTTCCTGCTTGTTAAAAACATTACAATAACCCTAAAGGGTTGGTTAGATTGAAACAGAAATGGCTAAGGGTGGTTCAGGTTTAACCAAAGTTTTTCATCAGAAGGTGAAAAGTTGAATCTTAGTTTCCCGAAATTGGCCAGTTATTCTGACCACTAGACCACACTGGCATTTGATGTGAGTTCAGTTGAGCCATCCTTTGAGTGTTAGTTTTATATATGTCCAAATCAATTTAGCTGAGGGATTTTTTTTTTCTCTCCATGCCCTCCTCTAGAAATGGAACAAAATTAAGAACCTAAAATTGAGACAAAATGATTATTGATTGGAGGCAATAATTCTAAAGGGTGGAATAGTGAAAAATTCAGCTCTCATTTTCCTTGTGACCCTTTTGATCTTTACATAAGTCTGTTTTTACATCAATAAACCAATTGCACTAAACTTCTGTTACATTTATCTTATTTTTTTAAAAAAATATTTGATTCATTTAATTAAATTAATGTTCCTAAATGTTTTTATTTTATTTGTCAGTAGGAGCAGGAATTAGAATGATTTACAGAATAGGTCAATATAAAATCATAATTTTGAAATAAAGGCAGAAACAATCTGGCAGCTTAGTAAAACCCAGTATAAAGAAGCGTACATTGTCAGGAATTAAACCATACTGAAGTTGCTTAAATCTGGCATGCCTACCGAGGCAAGAAAAGATAATGTTGATAGGTGCCAAATGGAAATCACAGTTGGCCTCTTAAGGTGAACCCTTTGAAAATACACATGCTGTAAATTGGGATGAAGGGTGTGTGTGTCTGGGCCAGCTTTTCTTTGAATCTTCTCTCTCAATTAAATTTTTAGATAGTGGATTGGAGAACTTTACAGTAGTCTGAGTGACACTAAACTACAATTTCAGCTTTTAGTCAGGCCAGTGTTATAGGTGGCTGGTCTTTTAGAGATCAGAGCAGCACAATACTAGGTAGTGGGGAACATAAACATTGGGGGTGGTGGGGAGATATAATTAGTTCATTTCCTACTTAAGAAACATCTGGTTGGTTATCCCCAGGACAGGATGCTGGTTTAGATAAGCCTTTGATTTGATCTAATATGCTGTTCTTTGTGTTGAGCAATTCTTGCCCAAAGTTGCTGATAGTGTTGGAGACTTAGATGTAGAAATTAAGAGCTGCGTTTAGCACAATGAAATTCAGCTCTGATGAGATTTGGGTTCTGAAACAAATGCAATAGGAAGAATCAATCTGGTTTTTCAACGGAAGATTTTCAAGGAATACTACAATTGTAGGCTAAGTTTGAAAATGAAAAACAGTCTCTGAAGACAAATCATTTCTATTTTGCTACCAAGTAAACTACATAGCTGTTTTCTACAAAATCACCAGGAATTGAACTTCATTTGAAGGTTTTATTCCTTCTCATCTTATTACTTGGTCTGTCTCTAAACAGCAGGCAATATATGTGACTTTGTACTCTGCTGTGTGATGTAATTAGTGGGTCAAATTTTCCATTCACACCCAGCACAGAGACCTGTATCACATCTATACTGGCAAATTGTCTTTTGTTGTGACGGGGGCACTATGTTGGTCTGCAAATGAGGCTGAGCTTTGCAAAAGTTACACACGGTGTGTTTGCTTTTGCAAGCTGAGAAGAATAGGGAAATTTCTGTGGAAAAGCCTCCCTTTCTTCCTCACTTATACATATTTAAATGAAACACTAGGAGCCCCTGGGCAGCCAGGCAGAGGTGTTACTTGTAAATAAGATCATAGGTTTTTCTTCAGTAAGGATTTAAGGAGAAGAGAAGAAAGATTAGGGATTTGTTTTTATGGGAAGATTTAAATGGAATTTTATTTAGATAGGACTGATACTATTTTGCAATTTTATGAAGTATTTCCATTTTAAGAGATTTATCGATGATAATGAGAATTTCATTCGGGATAGAATTTGGTCTGTCTGTTCCTTGAAGACTGCATTGTTAGGTCAGATTAAATTTGAGATTATCTTCCTCAGATTTTTATATATATATATAATGAACCAGAATGTTCAGCTTCAGTATCTATTAGCACCATAATCTAAATCAGATCTGAGCATTTTAGGATCAGTGGGTCATTTCTAACCCTTTGGCTGTCTCTGTCCAGCCTGAGGTGGTGGGGGAGGGGGAGGGGCAGTGGGTGGGTGGGGTGCGGCAGCAATCCTCCACAACAGTCCCAGTTTCTCATATGGCCCTTTGGGAAAACTAATTTCTCACCCTGATCTAAATCTTGCTGAATGACCATGGAGGACTCGGTCCATCTCACATGATCCCTTGATGCTGGAGCAATGGCTTCATGAACTTGGACATGACTTGTTCTCAGGTACTGCTCAGTTTATACAGATGCTTCTCTCTGACATCAGCCCCCCCTCCCCCAAGTACTTTATCAAAAGAAAAAAAACAAAGAGAAGGTTTTAAAAATCCTTAACATGAAAAGTATTCGATAAGGTTTTGAATTTGCTTCATGGTGTTATCCTTTTTCTTGGAGATCTAATTATTAATCCCAGCTATTTGGGGCTTCTGAGTCATTCAGTGACTAAAGGATGCATTTTGTATCTGCTAGAGGTGCTGCCTCATTTTAGTCCTCTTTTCCTAGCATTCCAAAGTAGGGTAAAACAGGCCCAGTTCAGATCATGTATATAGGTAGTCCTCAACTTACGACCACAATTGAGTCCAAAATTTATGTTGCTGAATGAGACATTTGTTAAGAGAAATTTGTTAAGAAATTTGTTAAGAAATTTGCCCCATTTTACATTTTACAACCTTTCTTGCCATGTTTGTTAAGTGAATCACTGCAGTTGTTAAATTAGTAACATGGTTGTTAAGTGAATCTGGTTTCCCCATTGACTTTGCTTGGAAGAAGGTCCCAAAAGGGGATCACATGATCCCAGGACACTGCAACAGTCATCAATGTCAGTTGAGTCAGTTGTCAAGCATCCAAATGTAACCATGGGGATGCTGAAACGGTCATAAGCATGAAGAATGGTCGTAACTCACATTTTCAGTGCTGTTGTAACTTCAAACAGTCACTAAGTGAACTCCTGTAAATTGAGGACTACTACCTGCATATAGCCTACTTTAGATCAATGTATGAATTTATTTCCAATTGTAGGGAATAACATTCAACATATAGAGAAGTGTATCTTACAAAAACATGTGGTTCAAAAATTAATTTTTAATGTTAATACATGTGCCTTTTGATTTGAATTTTAGATTTTTAAAAAAGTGATTTATCATACAGATATTTTATATATATTGTAAATTGTCCAGAGTTGTTTAGGAATTGAGCAACCCATAAAAACAAGCAAATAAATACAATACAGCAAATAAATGAATTGTCCCACATACAATATCCCTCAGAGATTCCAACTGTTTATACTTCTGTTTTATATATCCATAGATCCTTAGCACTACACGCCCAGCTCTATTTTTGCTTGTTTGCAAACAAGTGGTTTTCTGTATTACTGTATTACTTGGTTACTGGTTGGAAATTGTTTCTTTTAGGAATGTCCAGCCTTGCAGATAATGTAAACCAAGCTCAATTGCTTTCTGCTGCAAATGTTCCTCCCCCCCCTTTTTTTTGCAGTTGTCCAACTTTTTAAAACCTAATAAGTGAGAGCAAAACTGCACCAGAAGCAAACAATACAAAGCAAATCAAGGAAGATACAAGACCAAAGGTGCTTTTTTTTTTTCAGGAGGCAACTGGACTTTCTTGTTTTTTCTTTTGAAGACATTTCGCTTCTTGTCCAAGAAGCTTCTTCACTTCTGACTGGATGGTGGGGAATGGAAGGGTTTATAGTCCTTGCAGACAGCTGATCATTTGCATCCTTTTAGAGAGTAGTTGAGGCCACTTGGATGTTTATTTGCATCCTCAGGGTCACCTGAGCAACAGTAACAGTAACAGAGTTGGAAGGAACCTTGGAGGTCATCTAGTCCAACCCCCTGCTCACGCAGGACACCTGTACTAGGGATTCGAACCGCCGAACCGCCGACCTTTCTGATCGACAGTAGTGCTAATGGTTCCTGTAGTCTGCATTTTTTCTGGAAATCTATTCATACTCCCAAATTGTTCGAGTGCTGTTCATCCCAAATTGCACAGCTAAAAGTCTTCAAAGGAAAAAAAAACTAAAAAGTCCAGTTGCCTCCAGAAAAAAAAGCACCTTTGAGACAACCATGACCTGAATGACTGAGAATCGCTATAGATACAAGATGTTATTTAAATGTTAAATCCATACATTTAAATAAGGCTGGTCCCATTGGAACATTCCATATAGTCGGAATTTGTCAGTGATTTTTCAAAATCCTCATCTTCAGAATTACAATTATGCACGAAGGACATATTCTTTCTTACCTTGTGAAATGTATGGTTTCAAATTAGGCAGTAAATGGGCGCTATTCAAAAATATTGTCAAACAATAGTTTTTGAATGTCTTTTGGTTTATGTGTGCATATTGCCATTTATTTATATATTTAGCATATGGCAAGTACATGGACTTACAGTAGTTCAAATGTTGATGTACAGTCCACCCAGCCATCCAGTGATGAAATTCAGCTGGTTCTATCTGGCTCGGGCGAACCAGTAGCAGCAGCTGCAGGAGGCTCCGCCCACCCATGTGGACATTATGATGTCACTTTTTTGTAACATTTTAAGCCTCTGCGCAGAAGGCTTTGTGCATGCGCAGACGATGGCACGTGCGAGCAGAGCGTGCGTGCGTGCACACATTGGCGAACTGGTAGGGAAGGTAAGTGAATTTCGCCACTTCAGCCATCCAAGGACAGGGTGGTCCATGTTGAAAAAAATCAGACATTGGGCCGATGCAAGCTCTTGATGGACATTCGGACACAATGTGATGGATATTTTGTCGAGGAGCCCCACAGTCACACTGAGGGGTGGAGACAAGACCCCACTTAAACAATGAGTCCTGGCAGACACCATGTTGGGTATGGATCCTGTTCAGAGTTGACCAATGCTAGTGAGGAAGGTCAAAACCTGGCACCCTTGGTGTAGGGTCATCTATGTAACTGCCTGTATCTGGGCATTCAGCAGCCCATTTGGCTTTCCACTGTGTATTGATGTCAAAGTTGTTAGACAGCTGTTGAGCGAGTGCCAGAGAGGGCTTCTATATTGCCAATTTTGCTTTGATGCGCTTTTTAAAAATCGATGTATCAATAGTTTTCTTGTATTGTTAACATGTATCAGTGTATGGTTTGTGTGTTTTGACTGCATTTAAGCCACTACAAATAATGGCATAATTAGCTAAATAGTTTCTTAATCCAGTGCATCTGCTGAAGGAAAGGATATAATTTAACATTGTACTAGAGTCATGCAGTGTAAAGGAAGTAGAAATGATCTTTTAGTATTTTAACTGTAGTAGCAATGACTGCAGCAGTGAATAAAGCAAAGATTCTTAATGTGAAAATAGTACCAGAGTGTTGGTATTTTAAGTACATGAAAACTGTGGACTGTATATTGTGCAAATTGCTACCTGTCCACCTATCACTGGGAAAATGTGCTATTTTAAATGTTATGATTTCCAAATTAAGAATTACCTTAGAACAGGTAACATTTTTTTTCCAGGTGAAGAACATGCTTTCCAAAAAGTAATAGCTAGAGTGAAGACAAGATATATTCATCTGATTTAAAAGATACTTTATTGAACAGTATATTTAAAAAAAAAAACATCTTGGACTTTTTGGTGACTCCAGGTAGACCAGAATTACAAAAACAATCACAGTTTCATTCTCCTTGAACTGCTATAAGCATCACTATATTTTTCAGTTACTAAAGCCTTCTACAAGATATCGCACGGAGCATATCAACAAAGAAGACAGGAAGAATGAAAGAATATAGCAGCTATGCTGAATGAAAGACGCAAAGCACTTCTCCTAAGATTTCAGAAAGTCCAGTGCAGGAAATATGTGGGGAAAAATACTTTCATTTAACATGTTGGTTTATTTTCCCCCAAAATTGTCTTAAGGCATCATGATGAAAATATACATTAATTTGCCAGTTCAACAGATAAATTTTGTAGTTACATATAAAGGGGCCTTGAAGCCTGATTGCAAATGAATAGAAAAGTTGGAAAAGAATCACTATGCATGGAATCTCTTTCTGTACATATAAGATTAATTATCCCAAAGAAAAATTTCCCCCTCTACCATAAGCACAACTCTTTTCTGTAATGTAATGATGTAATTTGCTTATTCTTTTCCCTCCCTGACTTTTTCTTTTTTGCATTTTTCCTTTTAATCAGTCTGTTGCTTTTTGGATGGGTTGGACTATACTCCTATCATCCTCCAACAGCAGTTGTAATGTAACATTTTTTTAAAAAAAAATTATTTTTTTTAAAAAAAACTTCATATTGGGAGTGTCTTTAGAGATTTTTAGTCATCCAGGTCATGGTTGTCCCAAAGGGGCTCTTTCAAAGCACAACTTGTTTTTCTTTGAAGACATTTTGCTTCTCACCCAAGAAGCTTCTTCAGTTCTGACTGAATTGGGAGGATGATTGGGAGATTGGGAAGACAGAGTTGGTTTAGATTGGGGGCATTTTTTCATTATATTGGAAGGGCAACAGTATATAAGGTTGACAAATCTAACACCAAACATGTTGGATAAACTAATTTATTTACTTCTAATCTGCACTTTTGAGTTTGCTGAATTTATTATTTGTCAAAAGATTCAAAAGTTTCTAATTCATAATTTCATTTTTATAATGTAAACAGCATGTCATATCCCCTGGCTTATTTATCCCTCATAACACTCCATTAAATAAATTAGCCCAACAGCATGCCTAGAATCATTGTTTTAGATAACTAAATAATTAGATGCCTAGAATTATTGTAAGGCTGTGAGATGAAGGACTGTAAGAAACCAGTGATATGTTAATCAAACATAACCCATTTTAAACGGGTTACATTGATATGTATATGGTATAGAGGCGATTCAGATAACCTGACCTTCTGGTAGGTGGCTAAAGTTTGGAAAAAGTTAGTAGTTTGTATCAATTGACATCAGGAGTCAGGATCCTGAGAACTATAACTTTCAAGGAAGAACATTAATCTGAATGTTAGACAAGAACAGTGTCTCATAAGAAATAAGGAATTGCTGTCTATCTGGTTCAGGCACTTGACAGCACCAGCTGAGTTTAGTCACATTAGTTTTTTGACCCATCTTCCTTTATAGAATTTCCTTATTCAGTTTTATTTCAGCAACGTCAAGTTTTTGAGATGGTTTGGTCTGGAAAAAAGTGGACTTGTCTGATAAATTATCCAGGAAGAATCTCTAATTCTCCCTATTCCTATTCCAATACACGATTAAATACACCAACTGACTTTCAGAAACATTCAAGAGCTTTTTAGTTACCCTCTTTTCATTCATTCATGTTCTGTTGCTATTCAAGAGGCAAACGTACTCCCCAGATTACCAGACATTTCAAAATCATAGTTTAAAACCATACAACATAGTCATTCCTAAGCAGTAACCCTACAGAGATAACATTAACAATGAAATCCACATGTTTTGCGGGAGTTAATATTACATTAATATTTTACAGGGAAAAATCTCCTTTGAGTTGAGAGTGATTCCTAATGAATCAACCGCTTTGGGAATAATACTAAAGTAGTTTGCCATTGCTTTCTTCCAATGCCGTGTGTGTGTGTTTCTGTGTGTTTTATCCTCTGTTCCCAATCATCACAGATAGAGTATTATGGCATACAAAGTTGTCAAATGTGTAGCTTTCATGGTAAGTTTCATGCTACCAAAACAATTTAAATGGGATAGATTGGAAAGCTAGACAAGTGATGACCTTCTTTTCAGGGGCTTGAATATTTTTTTTAAAACCACATTTCTCCTGTTTGTTAAGCGGAGTCTTCCCTCTGCATTTCCCTGCAGGTTTCTGCTCTTTTTTTTTTTCACTGTTGGTGAACTCCTACAGCCATTCTACGAGCAGCAGGGGAGCAGTGGCTCCTGTAGCTTGTATTTCCATGGATTGTGACATTTATATGGCTTCAGCCTTTTGCCATAAACCAGAAGACAATGGGAGGGATTTTAACACTGTGCTAATAGCGGGGCTTGGTTCCTCCAATGTTAATGACCAGTTGAACCTTAACCTTTATGGAACCAAGTGTGGACGTTTGAGATCAAGGTGCCAGCCAGATTTAATACTTGGTTGCCAACTGTTCCAAGTCCTGCTTCATTAGCATCCTTTCACCTAGGAGGCTTAAAAGTAAACTGCTAATGAGTACACAGTAAGTCTCCATCTATAAAAGGAGAGGGTGCTGGGACATCTATTCTTCCTTTGGTTTCATACGTTGCTTGAATAAATGGCTTATTGGTGAAAGGTGTCCATACTGTGACACTTTTAGTTTTATTTACACTGACTTTTCAGTTTCAAGAGTTAAACCTTGACATTGAAAGTAGATTTGAGAGCGGATACATCCTACTAGGCTGTAGCTCAAACTAAATGTTGGAAATTGGTAACAGGAAACTAAACCTGGTGTATGGACCCATGCTGTGATCCAGTACATTCATCCGTGATGAAAAAAAAATGGGAGGGGGCTCTCAGGTCAAATGAGCAATGCTCACTGCTGCTCGGTGAAAAAAATGTATATTTCTCTTAGGATAACAGGGAAAAAATACTTCACCCACAGTGATATATGACTATGTAAGATTGGTAACTGCAAAAATCTTGTCATTTCTTACATGGAGATATTTTATTCTATACATGGATGTGGACATCCGGTAAATAGGCAGATAGTTGAGAAGTGTGCTGGCTGTTTGACAATGAATGGTGGAGGATAGGAATAACTTATGTTCCTATATTCCCTTGCATTTTTTTTTTTTTTGGATACATGAAAAATGATCATGATAAAAACCATCCTATTTTTAGCTATGATTGCTGAATATAATGTTCTTGTTCAGGGATAATATGTTTTTGGGTAGGAAAGGCTTGGAACCAACAGGGAATAGCTCTCCCTTCATGCCTTCTTTTGTGATCTTCTTGGAATGTTTTGATAGATCCTGTCTAGATCCAGAAGGGTTTTTCCCCCCTGTTCTTCAAGAAAGCAGACTCTTACTTGCAAATGGAAACTCTTAATCTCCATAGTTAAAGGGAGCTTCAGAATTTACACCTCCTGGCTAAGCTTTTGGTAGTCTTTCCTCAGCTTTTTTAGTTTCTCTAACCTCTATTCTCCCATCCTTTATTGAAAGAACTGCCTTTCCCATACTTTCTTTTTAGAAATTCTCTTTAAATGTTTTAAAACAGCATCCTAGCTGAAGTGGGTGTGGGAGCCTTTGAAATGACGTCAAAGGTACATTAAGAGAATGACCCATTTTAGAAAACATTATCAAAGAATTTAAAGAATATGTGGGGAGGAGTAAATTCGAAGTTCCAGCCCTTAAACTGAATGCTATCAACTATGCACAGGCCAAGAGTCTCTTACTTGTTTTGCATTCCACTGCCACTGAGTTAGGCATGGTTCAATTGAGAGCAGTGGCTTTTACCTCCCTTAGTCCATTTATGTTGCTGTTGTCTCCTATTGGGGTTCTGTGCTTGGTCTAC